AAAATAATTTAATTTAGGTTTAATAATATAATTATTTATAAAGATAATAGTTAAGTATTTTGTTAGAACTTAATGATTATCTTAATTATATTTTAGTTTTTTTATATTTAAAATGAAATGTTTATCTTGTATTTGATTATGTTTATCTGCCAATAGTTACACGAATTCAAACAAGAAGCTTTAGTAAGTTGTATTTACGCACAATTAATTATAATCTTGAATTTTAAGTAATATGCATGAATAAACAGTACTTCATGCATAAAAAATAGTTTTTAAGAGTTTTTGTCAAATGTTTTACAATATAGTATAAATTTTATGTATTGCATAATGTTTTTCTAAATCTTAAGGTTCTGCTTGGCTAATGTTGATGAATGAAATGGGGATGAAAATGAAAACAACATAGAATGAAAAAAACCATTTCTAATTTATTACACCATCAGGTCAGGTCAGGTCAGGTCAGGTGAGCCGGGTTTCACATCAGGTCGGGGCAAATCACCATCCTTAATCACGAAGGTTCAAATGCGGTGACTCTGGGCTACCTGCAAAGCACGTGGTAGCCCTGAAATTAGTCGGCTCACATAACGAGTTGGAAAGACGTTCCTCAGTAATATCGTCATGACTCTCGGAGTCATGCGCGGCAAATAAGTAACAGTATCATATAAACTAAAATTTTCATAAGTTAATTTAAATCAACATGTCTGTAACGTAAGGGATGATCTTGTTATCACAAAAATAAGAAATATTGTAACCAAAATAACTTATTTGTGCATAATTAATTCGAATTAATTGTCATTTAAGAATAATAATTAGAAGCTATATAATAAAGACTTGGGATCACGTGAGACCCGCATGTTTTCTTGAAACCCGTGAGACCATTTTTTTACACTTGAAACTTCACAGCAAAACGCTATGAAAGTTACCTTCACAGCGTTTTGCTGTGAATGTTCGATTTCTTTTTACCTTCACAACGTTTTGCTTTGAAGTTTAAGTGTAAAAAAATGGTATCACGAAGTTAAAAAGTGATTAAGGAAATTGACAAAAAATAATTAATCTACCCAAATCTATTTACGTTATAACAATTTCAAGACTGAAATTCACTTTATAGCCGATCCTTAGGGAGAAACCAAGTGAATTGGATTAGAAAATGACTAAAAAATGAAACCACTTATCAGCTTTAGCTATTTTTGTCAATTTCCTTTCATAATTGCATCTATGCAGAAACATGCACTAGAATTTATATTGGGATTCATAATTGCATCTAGGGGTGTTCAAAAACCTGACCAACCCGATTAATCCAATCCAACCCAATGCAAAATAACTCAACCCGAAGCAACCTGATGTCTAATCGAGTTGTAAAATTTTCAAACTGTAGGTATTGGATTGATATTGAGTTACCATTATTTGAACCCAACCCAACCCAATGAACGCAATATCCTTTTACTTTTTGGATTTACTATGGTTGTTGAATTTCTATTGATATATACATTAGACAATTACACTATCACGTACGCTCTTCATATACACAATTTTCAATCCTATTCACGTCTCTACACAATTCATTCATATATATGTTCAATAACTGTGAACATATATATGTAAATTGAGAAAATTAGCGGAGTGTGATATACATAAGAAGTATGGATAAATTGTATCAAATGGTTAATGATGAAAAATAAGATATTCAGAGTTGTAAGAATAATTTAATGTATCAAAATATCAACCCGACCAATCCATACGATTTAGGTTGGGTTGGGTAACACTTTGGTTTGGGTTGGATTAAGATTTTTCAAACCGCAAATATTGAGTTAGGTTGTTCAAATGTCTTCAACCCGATCAACCCTACCCATAACATGTAGCAGAAAGGATGCCCGACATAAAAAAGTATTTTGTAGTTATTATTATGGTAGTCGAGTTGTATTATCCTTGTAGAACTATTCTAACGAGTTTTCCCCTGCTTGAATCAAAGTAAAGATGAACTGAATCAACATACACGACTCAAATAAGACCGATAAAAATCTCGCTTTTTTTTTTGAAGTAAAAAAAATCTCGCTTTATTGGAAACAAAGTTGACAAATCGAGCAAAACTGTACCAGCCAAACGATGGAGCTAAACAAATACTTTTTCAAGGCTATCACGGGAAGAAAAACTTGCACCGTCTCAAACAAGACAGACAGACAGACAAAACTAGACTCGATAGACAAAGTGAGATAACCTGGTGAAAGATTTTTGGGTTTTAATTTAACGGATGTGGTTAGTAAATAACCAATTTTATTTTATCTTCTTCATTTTTGTTCCACCTATTTTGACGGGACCCATCCAGTCCCAATCTAATCTCACATCAAACATAGGACAACAAACCATAAGGGTGGTGCCTGATTGGTTTGAGCTTGACTCCAAAGGTTAAAAGTACCAGGAGGTCCCAAGTTCAAATCCAAAGAGAAATAAAAATCCCCTTGTGGCCACGGAGGTTCAAATGCGGTGACTCCGGGTTATCTACAAAACAAGTGGTCGTCCTGGGATTAGTCGGCTCGCATATCCAGGTTAATAAAAAAAAACATAGGACAACAATTTTTCTTCTGTCTACGTCCCATTCCGTCCTACATACCAAACAAAACTAAACCAAAGTCCGGCAAACCGGTTCATTTTAAGTTTCAACATCCACGAAAGAAAGTTTGAGTCGATGCCAAACATAGGAGACCATAGACATGAAAACTGAAAGGTAACAAACATACGCATGGAGCTTCATTAGAGCGCTTGGTTGGGCTTCTGCAATTTTTCTTGTTTTTGTTCTTTCTGTTGATTCTCTTTCTCGATCAATTCAAACACCATCTGCATGTGAATTGAGTTAAGACTATGCTAGAAAGTAAGGATTAATGCGGGTACGGGATTAAGGAAAGAAACGACACAAATGAATATTTAGAAGGAATATGGTAAATATTTTACTGAAGGCGAGTTCAGACAAGAAGGCAGTCAACTTGCAAGAAGTGCAAGAGGGGCCAATCACATGTGATTGAAGAGTAAAATCACATGTGATTGTAGAGTAAAATCCCATGTGATACAAACATGTTGCGTTGACCAACCATGAGCATGCATGAGTTTTCACACGACCATGGTCACGTTGACCCTCGCACCGTCCTTTTGAATGTGTTATATCACATGTGATTTTACTGTAGAATCACATGTGATTCAGCCCTTCCTGCACTTCTCGCAAGATACCTTCAAAGTAGAGAATTTTGTGTACCCAACTCAATATTATCAGTCCATTTTGTAATGATGATACTGCATAAATATATAATTCTAACACAAATCTCTCATGTATATGTCTCTCTTTTTTAATTTCTATTGTTTACTCATATCTAGCTTTTCAAAATTTAGCATATCCGTATTTCTCCCCTTCCACGTACCTTTCACTAGCCAGGATCTTCAAAGAAACAACCGCTCTGCTCTTTACGGTAGAGGTTACAGTCTATGTACATCTTACCCCTCCCCCAAGTGGGATATATTGGGCTCGTTTGGTTTGGTTTATATAACTTAATACAAGTTCCGAAAAGAAAATGGTGCAAATTTATGGGAGAAAAGAAAGTATAGCAGTTTTTATTGGATGGAGATAGTACTATATCCATCCTTCATATGGTAAAAACAAAACATCAAGGGAAAATTTAAGCATTCAGGAAAGTTACTCCTTTGTGACATAAATGTCATCGTTCGAGTCGCTAGAACAACCCCAATGCAAAATGCAAGGAAATGTATGATTATGGAGGATGAGAAGAGATTGAAATTTGATTTATATGTAGGCATGTCCATTGGGATCGACTTTGATAGTTTCACTTGATAGCTTGTAAATATCTAACAATATTTCTATAATATGTTAGATGTAAAGTAAAACCAAATGAGCCCAATATATATCCCACCCAAAGGTGGGGTCTAGGGAGGGTAAGATGTAAAGCAGACCCGATCTCTACCTCAAACAGTAGAGCGGTTGTTTTCGTGAAGATGTCTGGCTAGTGAAAAGTGTGTGAAAGAGAGAAAAGAATGTAAGCTTAAAATTTGAAAAGTTGGATATAAGTTTAACATGCAAATACACGTAAGCTTAAAATTTATACAATGCCATCGGGTATTCAACATATAACTCTAGGTTAGCTATGCAAAACACTCGATAATTAATGCCTCGAGATTGTAGATAGTCCCAAACGAAACTCAAATCGAATAGGTAGGGTCTAGATATTCACATATAAATGTATTGATGAAATTATTAATATCTAAGAACTTAGGGTCTATTTGTTAGCAGCTTAATGAGCTTAATGAGACTCATAGCTTATCTGGTAGAAAGTGGCTTATTCAGTAATCTTCTAAGGGGGAGCTTTATGCAGAAAGCCAAGTTTTTTACAAACATGTCCCTCACAATCAAAGACAAGTTTCTTCTTCTGTCTATTAAAAAACCCTTCCAAACAAAAACTTTCCCAATCTATACAGACAAATTAATCCACATAGACAGTTTTATCCATACAGAACTTAATGGAAAACCAAACATCCCCTTTAGTATAGTTTACCTCGAATATTCAACATTAACATGTCTACCAGTCACAATGTTATTGGACATGATTATAACTTACCATGTTTAACAAAAAAACAAAGAAAGAAGCCGGAGAGGAAATGATCTCTTAGGCACACAAACAATAATGTAACAGAATGATTTTCATTTTTATAATGGTATTAATTTATGCACAATTATATCGTTGTATAAAAATTTGAAGAGAAAATGTAATTTTAAGGCGCGTGTATTGATTAACGAAAGGTGAGATGCATGTGAACTGTGAAATGAATATAATGAGAGGCTGTATACCTTCAAGTAGGTTTCAAACTTCACTTTCGTACCATTGAAATCATTCCTCAGACCATATACGGCTGATGAGTAACTGCAAGATTCCCGACAAGAATAAACTTAGATGAAATTTTTGATAAAAAGAAGGGCATCCAAAGTTTGGTCATGAAACATAAGAGGCGGGAATAATAAATCGTCACCCAGAATGAGATAGCAATGCCAAGGCGTTCGCTATATTCTACTTATATGTGCAAATTTAAATAATGCCATACAAATTACTTGCAGGACATAATTTAAAATTTATAACACATAGATAGCACATAATAACTACAAGGCTTCCAACTAGATCAAGAGTTCATTGTCACGGTAAATTAGGATGAAGTTTTCCTAATCAGAGCAATGGATTATATAACTTCAACCTCCGAAAAGAAAATAAATAGAAAGTAATAGATAAAACACAAAGTTATATTACTCCACCAAATAAAAGGAGGAAAAAGGAAGAAAATAGAAGAACGTAAAAAAAGAGAAGAAAGAACAACGAAAAATAACTGGAAACCGACCAAGGAGGGGAGTGGATACGCTCTGCGGATGATAAGATAAGACAATATACTGTTGCAGTGTTGCTATGAAATTTTTAGGGCTTAAAATAGAATTTGACTCGATTTAGGTAAGTGGGTTTTTTGTTCTCCATTTAATGTTTTATTGGAGTTAATGTGGCTTATAGTGATGTCAAGATTCAGGAAACCACCATTTCGACCTAAATAAACATGGCATCACGAAGAATTATAAGGTGACAGCCATTAAATCCACATCAAGGATAGGGATCATCATGCCAATTGGTCAACGCTAGGATCAGGGATGGACCCAATTCAGAGATATGGCGGCCCGTGCCACTCCGTTGTAGTATTAAAAAAATTAGGGTTGTGAAAAGAGCCACCGTATTAGTTTGTTATGTGCCACCGTATATATTTTGAAACTACAATGAGAACAAGTTTTCTTTGGTACAGTTGGTTTGCAAGACTTTTCTTCCACCTCAGACCCGAGTTTGAATCCTGTTAGCGTCATTTTCTTAGTCAAATGGTGCCATCGTTTGAAAAAAATTATGGGTCCGTCCCTGGTTAGGATGACGTGCAACACGAAGCTGACACCATGGCAATAATGTGACAACTTCACCAAGACTGTCTTCCATCTTCGGTACATCATAAATGACAGAGGAGCACAAGTTGTTCGTCACAAAAAGAAAAAAGATATTACATACAAAGAAATAAATACCATAAAAGGCCGGATCAAAATAGAAATCTTTCTACTTTATTTGGTATAGTAAACTACAAAGGTAAAAAGGTTTTATTCTCAGTCGTCTTAACTGTTGCAACAAAAAGAGATTAGGTTGTTGCATCGTCATTCAGGATAAAGTCACTGATGGGGAAAAAGATTTACGTCTAGATAATCAATACTCAAGTGGATAGATATATGAAGAGGGTGGGGGCGGGTGGCTGTTTATTCTTAAATTCAGTCGATCGTTAAAAATATATCAGGTCCTTACCATACAAATATCTAAATTTACAAGGTGACTCTTGACACTAAGAGGTATATCAAGAAAAAACCTTTTAATTGCATAAAAGAGCTCCCTTACCTTTCCTCATGAAAACCCAGACAAGCATCAATGACAAAAAAAGCGGCCTTCTTCACATTCTGAGCACCCATCCTGCAATATCCAAAAGGGTCCAAGACGTTGCAACAAGTAGCACGAAAATTGAACATCATGCTTAAATTCTAAATCTTGTAATTTGTAATAATTCTATTGAATACACAATTTTGATTATTCAGTATTGATAATTAAGAGCAAGTTTTTGAAATCCATCAGCTATTACCAATCATAGATTTGGTATTGAAGCGTTTCACTAATAGTAACAGAAGAATTTTCTTTCATGGTCCAACCTTTCCAGATGCTATAATATTTTTTCCATCTTTGCTGCTTGCTTCTTTAATTTTTCCTCCTTTATTCTGGTTCTTCTCAAGGGTATAACCCTACGGCCTAAGAGCGTAAAGTGATGGTCCTTTGATGCTTCAAAGGCTTCGGTGATGACATAAATTTTGTGTTTGGTCAGTTGGACATCCTAGAGAGCGTTATGTTGAGGCTGTTACAAGTTAAACATTACAGTGAAAAATCAAGGCCTACGCTAACCAGGAAGTACTAAAGACTTAAGGTTATGGTGGCAGGAATCTAGGATTAGGATCTCCATCCTATACGGATGCGGACAGGGTTTCAGGTGCGAATTTGATCGTTAACATTGTAAGATGCATCATTACTATCTTACCATCCTTATTGTATGATCATACCCATGGGTTGGATTAAGTTGATTTTAAATGAGAGTCACTTCATAAGTTGATATTTGTCTTGCTTAATGAGTATTTGTGTTTTCCACGAAGCATATCTTTTTACGACTAATACACAATCCCAAGGAAATTTGTAAAAGTATAAAATCATGGAAGCCAAGACCCTTTGGTGTAGATAAGAAGTTAAAATAGTTAATTACCAAATACTTCTTGCTTTGATGCTACGAGCTATCTTGGTTGCTTCTAAAAAATTGATCTTGGCACGTTTGCTGCAAATGCAAAGACAGAAGTCAATACTGACAAAGGCAAACAAGAAATAAGAAACTTCAAATGACCATCTGGTTATGAATTTACAAGTTAACCTGTAAGACTCAAGTTCAGAGATCTCCCGATCCACTTCAAGACAGAATACCTCGACTTGTTTACGAAGTTCATCCGCTTTTTCTACACTTTGATAAACTTTAAATTTATCAAACCGGTGGTCTACATCACTCTGCAAATAAGTTAAGACAAATCACCTTGGGCCACATGCAAACTATTATCAAGAGGACTTACAGCAAGGAGAGAACAAATCCAGGGAGAAAGTTTACAGATGTTCTCCCCAGAAGGGCAGCGAAGTAATGATGTCAGCATTAATGAAGCACCAATTTTCAATAATTACTAAGAGCATCTCCAACAAGATTCTTCAAAATTTCTCCAAAAATGGAGAATCAAAGCTTAAAATCTCTACAGAAAATTACATCCAACTCAACAGATTCTCCATTTTGGAGATTACAACATTGATTACATTATTAAAATGTTGTATACATGTAATAAAATATTATTTCTCTCATAAACATTTAACCTCAACTTATTGGGGAGAATATAATAAAAAATTGTTCCTCTCTCATGGTAATCATTTTTGGAGAATTCTCCATATTTGGAGAAATTCACACTCTCTCTCATGCTTTCTTCATTTTGGAGAAAGTTTTGCGGAATCTATTGGAGTAAAAAATTACCCAAAATCTCCATTTTCTTCATTTTGAAGAATCTGTTGGAGATGCTCTAAATACGCAAATATTAAACCTGTTTATGGGAGGAGACCAACTAAAACTCGTAAGCTTTAAAAGGGTTGACATTCATTGATTAAAACCCTGATGTATCAAGGACAGTCCTGGCCCCTTGGGTATAGTGCGCGGACCCAGGATTTCCAATAAGGGTATACACTACCATAACAATTGTTTTTTCAGAAGAGGATGCACTAGAATAACAGTTTTTTATTTTTATTTTTTAAACGCTACCAATTTTTTTCTATGTAGGTCCGCCTCTGCTTGGGTAGCTCCATCCATGGGAATATCAAACCTCTTGGCTGCATCAACTTGTCTAAAAATAATATATATCTAACTTTAAACATGATGGTTCACGATTTATACAAATTCCAAGTAAACCCTCTCGGAAAAGGTCATTTCAAGTAATGGCACTTTTAAGTCCAGAAAGTATGACTCATCCAGATACATTTTTAGTAGGAAGAAGCTATAGATGATGATTCAAAACATTTCAAGATTTAAGATCAGAAAACATAGAATTTAAAATACGAGATCAAAAGAATAGAACAATGGGAGCCTAAAACACATCTAAAAATCAACCCCTTTTGCCACTAACATCGTTCAGAGTGATCTTATATGCAGGTGAAGTTACGATTTTTTACCTCATCATACATACGGTTAATATACCCTTGAAGCAGCAGTTTTTGAATTTCCAAAGACATGTTACCCCAGAATTCCCGAACTCTCTAATTATCTAAAAGCTAGAACGTATGGTGAAGCGATGAAGTGGTTTAAGTGAAATCCCACAACCAGATGAGGTCTCTTGGAATTTTAAGAATTGGGAAATAGCTTTTATCCAGGAAATCCTCAAGTCCTTCTCAAAAGTTACATAAAAATAGAACTTTACAGCCTAATTATATTTTAATGAAATTAAGAAATGGACAAAACTGAGTTGGCATTTGGAATGTCCTTTGATCCGCTCCTCGCAGTAATTACTAGTTACCCAATACCAAAGAAACGAACTCTATTAAGTTGAACGAGTCCATTACCAACAAACAAAGTGATTTAAGTTTAAGCTAACTGTTTAGTTAATTTTTGAGATCCTTTATGAGGTTACATAAGCAATGAGGGAGTGGTAACTAACAAGTAAGAGTATTATATGTCAATTAATTAATTACAAAGGTCCTCTAATGAAAAAGAAACAATAAGAGTCATTATGCATCCTTCCAAATTAAAAACAACCTTTTATGGAAGGTAACATATATGGAAATTTGTGACACTCAAGTGAGGCATGCTTCTTGCATAATATATTGACAAATTACAGAGGTGCCAACATCATATGTAAAATGTGATCCTTCAAACACACAGAAGAAAAAATCGAATGTGGTCTAAGAAGTGCATATCCTGTGGCCATGTGGTAAGCTTCCTCCTCATTCATCCAAATCGCCTCCTCTTTTCTTTCTCCTTGGTCCAGACCATTCTAACTTATATTTTAAGGGATTTTCCTCTATAACTTTTTTCTTTAGAAGTACTCGCCATCATCATCTTTTACAGAATTAGAGTGATTTTCTTTATGCATCCTTCAGTCATTCCAAATTCAAACAACCTCTTTTGAAGGTAGAATTTGTAGGAAATTGTGACACTCAAATGGGGTATGCTTCTTGCATAATATATTGACAATTTACAGGGGTGCCAACTGCCAACGACATAAGTAAAATGTGATACTTCAAATGCAGAGGGGAGGTATCAAATAAATTAAAACTAGTTTGCATAGCTGTTTGCACTGGAAGAAATTCAGGAGGGACTCAAGGGCAGATTAAATGTGTCATTCATCATGATAATCATGGATTTCACATGGTTTAATGGCAAAGATGCTCTACAAAACAATGACAAAATCACAAGTCCTTTTCTCTTTCCATTAGTAAGTAGTAACATCTAACAAACATAAAATATTCAATAAACCTACGAAACTGCCATTTAGTTCATACTTTGGCCCTAGAATTATATCAGAACCTATATCATTATGATTACAGTTGCAATTTTACATATTTCCTCACAAATATGGAAACTTGAGCCATTGGTCAATGGATAACTTGAACTCATACATTTTTAGAGCTTTTATGTTCTATCATAAATAACAAAGAAGAACACTAGCGAAACAGAATACGTATATATCATATCTAGGTGTGTATGTACATACAAGTAAGCAGTTCATCTTACATGTAAAGTCTCTTGTAGTCTATATCTTCAACAAGGTCGCCCAAGTCAAGCACCAGCTCTATTTGAATACTGTTTATAGGATTTTACTCCAATTGGGGCTCCAGGGGAATGGAAGTTGTTCATTCACATAAGGCTGGAAGAATCATCAGGTATATAACTACCCATCAGATGTGTGATTCGAATACCTCCCTCACTGACAATTTAGACTAGATTTCAACCATCCCGATGAATATTTATCTAAGTTCTAAACAAAGTATATTCCTTTTCAATAACGAAAAACCTTATTAAGGTTTCAAACTTTTTATTTCAGTGTGAAATATCAATTCTATTCATATAATGTTTCCTGCTTTCTTCATTAAAAGGAAATTGATTTAGTATTGAGTATGTGATGATCTGTTGAATAACAAACTCGGAGCGTTCATTTTAGATGTATGCTTCTACATTACTTCAAACCCTATTTCCGAGAGGGATATACTGGGTTTGTTTGGTTTGGTTTATTCTACATTATTTTAACATATGATCATTTGTCCTTTTGGGTTACTAATGCATCTATGTAAATGGAATTTAAATCAAATTCAGAACTCACTTGAATGAAAGTATAGAGTGTTTTGATTTTTATGTCGTCCTTTAAGCTATGTACTCAAAACCGGTCATTAACCAACCCTTGGTCCAAAAACTAGGACCGATCCAGACCTAAAGGGTTGGTACGGTTTCGGTGACCGGTTCTCAGTCCTTTTGGTAAATTAGACACAACAAAGATGGGGTTATCTAATTAAGGTACAAAGCAAATTCCTTTTCAAGTGCTAGAACTCTTGCATTTTCAATCTGATATACTGCCAAAAGTAACATGGATCACCCCTAGAATATCATCCAATATCAATGGTAGCTTATCAAAATTACCAAGATAATATAATTCAGATTAGGAAATCCAGATGATCGTCAGGACCCATCTTCCAGCAGCATTTAAGCTTTAATAATTACACGAGCACAAACAAGCCTTAACGAGAAGATTTAAGTAGGAGAAGTATCAGCTAAATAAGTGAAACTAGAGTTCTAGTAAGACAGTGTTTCTTACATAAGCTACTCTAAGCTAGGTCCTGAACTAGACGATCTCCGCAATTTGAATTGGGTTCAAGCACTTTCACCTGTCTAGAAGCATCTCCTGGGTAAGAGTTATTTGGTACAGTACTTAAGGCCTCTTGTACTACTTTCCAGGTAATTTCAGCCATCATCTACCTAATATCATGCCCTTCATCCCGTCCTCTGGGTGCAAAGGAATCCTCATCAGTGTGCAATGAAATGCCTGTCCTGGATGGCTAGATATGATGAAACCACCTTAAACAAAGTTATTGGGCCCAATCTAATTTTCAAAGTCTTTATAACTTGTATCACAAAATCTCCTCAAGAAAATATCAATTCTTAACCTACAAATAATATTAAGCCACTGCTACTTGGTGAAAACAAGTGTCCAATTTACCAAAAGGACCAAGGACGGTCCTGGCACCCATGCCAGCCCTTCAGATCCGTAGCAGTCATAGTTTTCAGACTAGGGGTTGGTTAATGACCGATGGAGTCTGGATAAAGACCAAACTGGCCAAAGGCCAATTTGTGGAGGTCTAGACATCCGGGCTTGCTTCCGTAGAAGCAACAACGGACTTTTTCATAAAAGAAAAAAAAACAAATTAGGGCCCGGGCAGAACCTGTTAGGACCTTTAGTCCCAAATCAGTCCTAGTCTTCAAGCCAAGGACCGTACCGGTCCTTCGCAGGACCAGGATTTTTTTGGCTTAGAGGACCTTTGCATTACCCACTCAGCCTCAATGGTGTCGTGTGAACATACTCTTCAATTCTTTGTGGCTAAACGCTTATAGAACAAGTAAGATACCAAGAGCCACTTCATCCACTCTATTGTTTCCTATGACCAACACCCATATCAATTTCACCACTTCTGTAATCCTTTGCATTTACATAGCTCAAAGGACAAAATAAAAATTAAAACACTCCTTACTTCTAAATTTGACTTAAATTCTATTTACATATATGCATTAGCAACCCAATCTAAAGACATATGATCACATGTTGAAATAATGTAGATATAATGTAGAATAAACCAAAACCAAAGTAAAACATTATATCCGACTCGGAAGTAGAGATTGAAGTAACGAAGAATCATACACTTAAAAAGAACGCTATGAGTTTGTTATACAAAAGATCATCATTCATCAATCATACTCCATACTAAATCATTTGCCTTCGGATGAAGAAAGTGGGAAACCATATATGAATAAGAATTGATATTTCACACTGAAATAAAAAAAAAGATAAAAAGCCATAATTAGGTTTTTCGTCACCGGAATCTCCCCGGAGAATTTCCGGCCGTCGTTATCCGGCTAAATACATAATTACTTTCAGATTCTCCCGGTGCTTTAGCGTAGGAGAGAAGGTCGAACTTCATCAGACGGTTTTAGGGTGGATTGCAGATGGAAATTTGCATTTTACGGATTTTTTGTTTTAAGCCATGTTCGTCAAGCTGATGAACAAATACAAAAAATCAAAAGGAGCATTTTAAAAAATTAGTTAATCATAATTTTTATATTATAAATAAAACAGATATTTAATAATATAATATATTAATATAGATAAAAAAAATCAAAATAATTTATTAAACTTTTTAAAAAAAATTCACATTAATTTATAAATTTAGATAACCATCTTATAATTGTTGTATTTGGTTTTTTAACTAAATATATTAAATAATAATTTTATTTTTATATAACTCACATAAACATTATTTATATTATATTATAAAGCATTTGACAAAAACTCTTGAAAACCATTTTTATGCTTAAAGTACTGTTTATTGATGCATATTACTTAAAATTCAAGGTTATAAACAAACTATGCGTAAGTACAACTTATTAAAGATTCATGTTTGAATTCGTGTAATTAACTGCAGATAATCATAGTCAAATACAAGATAAACATTTCATTTTAAATATAAAAAATCTAAAATATAATCAGGATAATCATTGAGTTCTAACATAATACTTAATTATTATCTTTATATAAAATTATATATTATTAAATTAAAATTAAATTTCTTTGTTACTACACCTAAATTTAAATTATAATTAAAAAATTGAATTAAGAAAATTGCACCAAAACACAATAACTTTTAAAAAGATTAATTTGATACTGATATATATTCTTTTTCAAAATTCTATGATATTTTCAAATTTATATTTTCTTCAAAAATAAAAACATTGTTGTTTTCTCAAAACCACATAAAACCGTATTATATCGACATAAAAAATAAATAAAACGAAACACTGAAATCAATATGTGTCTCGATGCATTGCACGAATACCCATCTAGTTATAATTAAATTAGAATGACTAACATTTTGAACAATTTGGAGTGTCAACACAATATAACACGTGTTTGTTTTCTAAAAATGCAAATGATTGATGTTGTGAACAATCATTTGTCCGTTATTTTTTTCAAGTAAATCATAAAAAAACATATGCTACTTTGAAAAACAACTGTATTTTAAAGCATCAGAGGCTATAAATTCTATTAAATTACATATCTGTGATTATAAATGTTCATGAATGGATAAGCACAGTTCCATTTATAAATTGTACGCATATTCTTATGCCATCTACCTTGTGTAACATCAAGTTGTGTTTGCATCAGATGTAAAGTTTCCTGGTAATCGAATTTAGTTTTATATTGTTAAATATTAATAATTATATTTTATACTCTTATAGTTATAAATTAAATACAAAATTACAAGGGTAAAAAATGTAAATTTAAAAAATAACTCGTATGTATTAATGATATTTAATAATATAATTAAACAAAAAATATTTAATATAAGCTCATTTTGCACGTATTAACGAGATGATTATAATGTTGTAATTCGTAAAAAAAACATAAATTTTACCCGGAAAAAGGAATTTATGCTTAAAATACTCCTTATTTTTACGTAAACTTTTTCTAAAATTATTATTATTTTTATCTGAAAATAAACTTTATACAGTGAGTAGATTTTATGCGTAAAATCCTTCTTTTTTCCTTAAACTTTTCATTCTTTTATGGGAATTTTGAATATTTTTATTTGAAAATAAATTTTACGTAGGATTTTTTTTAGGTATTATTTTTATAAATTTTACGTAGGATTTTTTTTAGGTATTATTTTTATAAATTTTGACTATTTAAGAAAAATGATTTCTAAAAAAATAAAAAATCATTTTAATGAATTCGGATATTTAAATAAATTAAAAAAAGATGAAAAAGGGTGGATCCCCCCATTTTCAGCCGACTTAAATCTTTGCCAGTTTTGGTTGGAGGATGAGAAAGGCAAAGGACAGTGAGATTCGGAGCGACAGTACCCAGAGAGAAAGGGGAAAAAGAAAGGAGTTGCATTCACAACAATCTGCTTTTCCCCTTTCTTTTGATTCTTTTCTTCTCCATTGGGACTGAAATTCGATTCAATATTCATCTGGGTTTGCTTGATTTCTCGATCTTTCGATGCAATTTCAAAGGGCGTTTATGTGTATTTCAGATTCTCAACAATTGGCGACGAAGAACTGAACTGACTTACGAGATCGCAGGAGTTGTGATCGAGGTAAACCATCGTTTGCATTTGATCTTCTTTGGTTGTTGGGGTTGATTTTTGTTCAATCTTTGATTTGATCCCTCAAGATCGGTCCAAATTCAACGTGAAACAACACTACATGTATTGCCCCGAAACTGTTCGACAAAATGTCCGACAGAAATGTGGGTTCTTCGTCTTTCATAGGGTTTCTGTCCATGAAATCATTGCTCGGTCTTTTTTCGATTGCATTAGTGGTGTTCATTTTATCGTGGTTCTTACTCTTGGGCTCCACTGGTCGGTCTCGATTCATCGATCACAATCTTTTACCTCATTCGATGCGTTATGATAATTACATGCAAAAGGCACCAAAAAGAAGTGCACCATTGATGGATCATAAAAAACAAGCAACTCTTAGAGTCTTTATGTACGATTTACCTTCTGAATTCCATTTTGAAATCATAGATTGGAATCCCGAGGGCAAGACGGTATGGCCGGACCTCCGTGTGAAAGTACCTGAATACCCAGGTGGATTGAACTTGCAGCATAGCGTAGCGTACTGGCTTACTCTAGACCTTTTAGCCTCGGAATTCAGTGAAAATGGTGGTCGAATCGCCGTTAGAGTCCATAACTCCAGTGAAGCTGATGTTATATTTGTGCCATTTTTCTCTTCAGTATGTTTCAATCGATATTCAAGGACGAACCCACATCAAAAAACGAACAAAAACAAGGATCTGCAACAGAAATTGGTGAAGTACTTAACGGTTCAACCTGAATGGCAAAGATCCGGTGGCATCGATCATCTAATCGTGGCTCATCATCCCAATAGCTTACTAGATGCCAGAATGCAGCTATGGCCAGCCATGTTCATTCTTTCGGATTTCGGAAGATACCCACCAACTATAGCCAATATCGATAAAGATGTGATTGCACCTTACAAGCATGTCATCAGAAACTATGTCAATGATTCATCTGGTTTCGACAGCCGGCCGATCTTGCTGTTTTTCCAGGGAGCCATTTACCGGAAAGATGGAGGTTTCATCCGCCAAGAAATCTTTTACCTCTTGAAGAAAGAAAAAGACGTTCACTTTGCATTCGGAAGTGTTAAAAAACAAGGTGTTGTTTCAGCTACAAAAGGAATGCGTTTGTCGAAATTCTGTCTTAATATAGCAGGAGACACCCCTTCATCAAATCGCTTGTTTGACGCCATTGCTAGCCACTGCGTTCCTGTGATCATTAGTGACGAAATCGAACTACCCTTTGAAGACATCCTTGATTACTCGGAGTTCTCTGTTTTCGTTCGAACATCGGACGCTTTAAAAGATGAGTTTCTGATCAATTTCATCCGAAGCATCGGGAGAGACGAGTGGACTCAGAAGTGGGCTAAGCTTAAAGAAGTCGAACGCTTTTTTGAGTACCAGTATCCCTCCAAGAACGGCGATGCTGTGCAGATGATATGGCGAGCTGTTTCGAAGAAAGTTCCTATTATAAAGAGGAAGTTACATGCTGCTAAAAGACGGTTTTCTCGATTCGATCAACCTGCTCGTAAGTCCTTCCCATTGCCAAGAAACTTTACATCTTGATACAAATTGATGTTAGAAAATAGAAGATATATAGAAGGTATAAGAAATACAAATAGAATTTTAGATGAAAACTTAGTCATTCGTTCATGAATCATTCACATTCACAGTTCTCTAATTTGATATAATCTGTAGCAATCGATAAAGACTTTGATAGAAATCGGGATTGTGTGGAACACTTTCCGAAAGTAATATTTTGACCCGTTTTCACAATCCCGGTTCTCAGTATTGGTGAAAGTTTTCGATTTGAAAGCTAACATGATGAAAGACATCTTTCTAAACCGAAACCACATTAACCGCAATCGGACTCCTAACTCGGTGAACGTTATTTGCCCACATCAACGACCCAAACTCGAAGCTGCCATTGCTGCTCTTATAAGGTACGAAATCTATCCTGTAAGTCATCTTCTCCCCCGACTTCGAAAACCTCAATACATCAGGATAAACCGAAGCTTTTAGTCCAGTTATTTCTAGTTTTGAATAATAAACTGCGGGGCCTTTACCGATGTAGGTAACCGTCCTGTAAACCGATAAACTTCCAGCCATATAAGCGACACCGATAGACGGATAGTTGAAGTTGTAGGAGGGTGTGGCTGGATTCCGGCAATAAACCGGTGTTCCGGTCAAGTTCTTGAGCTGTGCAAGGCTTGCACCAGTGCTGCAAAGGAGGTTGATGATATCATTGGCGTTGAAATCGTAAACGAGCCCCGGGTCTACGGCTGCAGCCGGATTTACGTGGCCTGATCCGTAATCAAAAGGGGTTGCAGCTGTAGAGTCGTCGTTTCTGATGAAGTTTCGGGTGTTATCGGTGGTGGTTGCCGTCGTCATTATAGCGGATTTTATCATGGCGGGGCTCCAATTCGGGTGAATGGATTTTAATAGCGCTGCGACTGCAGCAACGTGCGGACATGACATAGAAGTGCCTGATATTATGTTGTAATCGATGCTGTTGCCAGCGGTGTTTTCCGTCGCGATAGGTGACCATGCGGCCAAAACGTTCACTCCTGGTGCGGTTATATCCGGCTGCATTCAGAATTTATGATCATCATGTATTAGGATTCAAGCATTTGGTAAAAACTTACTCCCCGTCACCAAAATAAGTGTCCATGATGAAAAGACATTACGCATTTTAGAATTGTGCAAATATTACATTTTTTACTTAACTAAATGACAATTATAACCTTAATAATAAGAGAGTAATGAATTTCTCCATCTCATGATTAAGGGTAAAATTGGAAATTAGATACTTGATTTTGAAAATGGACGTTTGTTTTTGCGATAAACTAAAATAGAACTGTGGACACTTATTCTGTAACGGGAAGAGTAATAGAATGGAAAGATACCAACCTTGATGATGTCGGGAGTTATAATGTTCGGTCCCTTAGAGGAGAAGATGGCCATGGCCGGTGCGGGTTTAGTCCCGACGTGTGTTACCGTTTGGTAGATTCGAGCCATCGGATTCCTGGGATCAGGTATATATCAGAATTATTCTTACAGTACTCGTCGACATTATTTTGTTAGAGTGATTTTCGGTCAGATAATTCAACGATGGATCACCGACGGCTAGATGGAAAAATAAAGTGAAAATAAAAATGTTTTCCGGTCCGTCAGTAATCGGTCGGAAATACTTAAATTCACCAACGGATTACTGATAGCTTTTGGTTCATCGGGAAAAGTTGCCGGCGTGGAATTTTTGTCGGGGATTCATCAGAAACTACCATCAGATATTCGCTGTCGGTGATGCCTTGTTTTCTAGTAGCGTAAGATGTTGTAGTTATTATAAGTTTTTTTTTGCCGGTGGGTCCCACTTTTTTGGGGAAAAAACGTGGAAAAAGTAAACCATTTTGGATGCTATGAAATCTCTTGGAATAAAGAATGCGTGATCTGGGAACTCACTTTTGGGTGTTCATGTACGATTGAAGCTCTATGGCTTCTGCTTGACCGATTAAAACGCTAGAAACTACAGCTTGAAACAAGACGTATTTCGCGACAGGATCGACGAGGATCATCCCGGCACCACCACCTTCTTTTATGGCAATCGCTTTCTCTTTTCTATCATCGATTAACGTCTCGAGCATACATACGACGATCTTCCCCTTGATCAAGATCGGATCCATCGTATTTCTCTTGCAAAAGCTAGGTAAGAGAAGTCGGAAACATCAGTAAGTTGGTTCAATTCCGACAAACCAAGCGTCACGAAAACGGAATGCAGCCAATTTTGGTTCGGACATCTTGTTTATTGTTTTCCATGACGATCTTGGTTCGAAAAACATCACACTACAACAAAATGGGTACTTTAGGACGTCCGTACGTCATCGGATGTCTTAATAGAGTACATGATAAGATTTTTAAGTTTTAAGACAAACAATCGTGTGTGTATAATGATGTTACAATAAGTTAGTATCAAGTTAAGTGATATGAAAAGTTCTAAAGACAAAATGTCGAGACCTGCATATGCTTCATATACTTCATCTACATTCAACTATCTTTATTTACCTTTTTTTATCACCACTGCCAAAAGTTTAACAAATTAATGTGTAAAAGCTCGTGAAAATGACTTAAAAGTGAAGATAATTTTGAAAAATAAAGTTAGATGTCACCATAACTCTTATTCTCAAACGATCTCTCGTCTAAGGTTAATAAGACAAAGTTATTTATTGTACCCTATTAGATTGTCCAATTTTGTTAATTAAACTTGTCATGTCGATTAACTTCATTCTAACAATTTAATGTAACGTTATTCTATAGGATTCAAAGATATTGCTCTTATAGATATTGCTCGTGCGATACTGTAGTGTGCATCTCGTTCTAAAGTGCATAACATAAAATGTCAATCATGTTTCATTTTTGTCTCCTTTTTGTCCATCCTGATGCTAGTTGTATACCCATACAATGTGGCTGAGTGTAAATTTTGAACAGATACCTATGATTAGTAGATGATGTTGGACGAGAATCTTTCTCATAGTCATCGGTATAATTTTTCCAAGACTAATGGAGTTGCAAGTGGGCCTAGACACCATGGTTGTTAAAATGACTAAAATGACTATGGCTAATTTCAGAGTTTTTTAATAGTATAATTGAATAAAAAAATATTCAATATTGAACTCATTTTAAAGATACTGACGAGACGGTTATCATATTATAGTTTGTAAAAATATAAATGTAATTTTTAATGCATTTTAGTTTCTAATGACGTCCCCAAAAGCCCATTTTCCTGTTGTGTCACAAAATGTCATTACGATGAAATTGCATCGATGGACGTTTCTGGTACTATTTTTTTGCGACATATTTTCATCGTAACGATTTTGCGAGGTCTTTGTTATGCTTATGACCGTAGTTAGATTTATTGCAATTGCTGAGTTCATTAGAGTACCTTGCATTTCTAGAGGGGATTCCTGAAGCTGCAGTAACGCTACCGGTTATCAAACCGTATTGTTTCCCTTGATCCGGAGTCGTATTTACACCAAAACCCTTCAATTGTTTCAAATTTCCGAGAACTACGTACGACGGAAAATCACGATCCATTGTGCTAGCACCGACTGTGAGGATCCACGGAGCGACATTGCTCGCCGTACGTGGCAAAAAACTATTCCCAGCCGACGCACATACGACAATACCTTTCTCAAACGCGTGAAATGCTCCAATTGAGATCGCATCCTGAAAATAGATTGGTTGGGGAGGGAGTGGACCAAGAGATAGAGAGATGAGGTCGACACCGTCATGAATCGCGTCATCCATAGCTGCGAGAATGTCGGCATCTTCGCAATCGTCAAACCAACAAGCTTTGTAGATGGAAAGTCGAGCATTTGGTACGCCTCCTGTTGCCGTGCCAGAGCCTAACCCGTATAGACTGGCGTTGGAGACCTTCGATCCGGCTATTGTTGATGACGTGTGAGTACCGTGGCCCTGACTGTCTCGTGCTGATCGAAAGAAAGTGACGTTGGAGTTCTCGAGAGGTCCATTTACCGCTTCGAATCCTTTTGAGTAGTATCGGGCTCCTATAATCTTCCTGCAAAAGACCATCCGAAACAAATGGAATCGGGCAATAAGATCTACACAGTCATTGGTCCAACGGTGCTTGAGTTACCAGTAGAGTCTAACATCATAGGAGGTCAATAGTTCAAACATCACCAAAGACGAATTGGGTGCATGAGTTTTGTTGTATATAAATATTATATACATTAAAAAAAGTTAAATGCGTTAACGCAGAATAACAATAAATACCGTTATTTGCTATGACAATTCAAGCATCACCAAATATGAGAATCTGAGTGAGTTTTGTTGTATATAAATATTAGAGAAAATTACGTTTTTGTTCTTGTGGTTTATTGAAAATTTCTATTTTTGTCCCATGTGTTTTTTAAATTACAATTTTCATCCTCATTATTTATAATTCATTATTGTTTTCATCCTTATGATTTATACTTTATCTTTTTTCATCCATGTCGTTTACAATTCATTTCTATTTTAATCCCTTGTACTTAAAAGTAGTGGTTAGCATCAGGGACGGAAATAGAAACAAATTTCCAAACCATAGGGACTAAAAATGTAATTTATTCTAAATATTATATACTTAACTGGATTTTTTTGAAATGGTGTTCCGGGCTATATCCAGACTTTATCGATTTTTACCATTCTTAAAAAATTGATGGTTTCCTTGACGATAAAATTACCCTCAAAATCTTTTTTTTTGAAGGACGTTCCACAGTCCAAGTTATGCCTGGACTAATCCCGACAAATTATGACCGCAAGAAATCAACCATGATGAACTCAGTCACCACACTTGTTGCGTACGTTTGGAACCGAACCTAGGCAAATGGAATATTCCAGCACATCACACATCACCGGATCTTAACCACTACGCCACAACCCTTGTGGTTACCCTCGAAATCTCAATGGAAGCAGCGTGGAAGAAACCAAGGGTAACGTTACTTACCCGTTGCAGTTAGATCTTGAGAAATTCTGACCCGATACACATTCTCCGTTGAACTTGGCCGACACTGGTCCGAGCCCGTAATCATGAAAGCTTTCGGACTCCGGCCAGACGCCTAATTGAGCATAATTTTGCATAAGAAGTAAAAATTTGTTGATAATTATAAGGAAGTATATAATGTAGTAAGTGTTTGTAACAAGTACCAGTATCAATGACACCAACAATTGCATCTGATTTGACATCTGAAGGAAGTTTGTTATATTGCTGAATGGAATCCAGTCCTAAGAATCTCCATGAGTTAGTTGTATGCAATCGATTCAGCTTGCTCTCGAAAACCGAAACAACGGCTTCATTTTCTGTCGTATAAATCAAATCATAAGCTGTTTAGAATACCGTTGGTAATGATCTAATGACTTCGAATATATATATATATATATATATATATATATATATATATATATATATATGGGCATATTCAAGGAAGAACTGAGTTGTTTGTGATAACTGTGAGAACCAATATTAATCACAAATCAATAGATAAATTAGGAAATTTATAAATTTGGTAATTTTAAATTAAAATCTTAATGCAAGGATATTTTTGGTATTTTAAAACTCTCCTCTCTTCTCTCTCCGGCCACCGTTCTCCGGCCTCCGGCCACCATCCTCCGGTGATACCAATATGATACCACTGT